TTGAACGGGATATAGAATCATTGTTTGTAAAGGCGCCGACTGCGAGTGGATGGCATGGGGGTCTGTGTTTGACAGGGGGGCGGGCAGACTCCTTCGTGACGCAGCCACGCTGCCGGTCAGAAATTACCCCCTCTGTATCGCAGTCTTCGCTGGCCGTCTCAATTCTCGGTTGTTCCTCCATGGGATCGGTTTGGGTCCATAATTTTGTCGACCTTTATCAAAGTGTTCGTCGGAATGTGATTTTTGTTTGGTCTCCAGTCCTATTTTCCGGTGTATGTTGAATTTATAATACGTAAGTAAGTGTTGTTGCATAGAAATATTTGTTTCCAGTGATGTTAACTGTTTGTTCTATTGCGGAATGGGTCTTCTAAGTGCCCAAGATAAAACGTGTGGTGTAGACATTTGTGAAACTTCCAGGATATTTCTCGTCAAAGTTGTATTGCGTCGTTTTTATTTATTTTATAAGCTTTTCTTATATGCTGGAAATCGTGAGTGTTACAATCACCCAAACGTGTGGTCTTTTTGAGGTTTCTTTTACTATATTATGACATTCTTTACTCTTTTTAAGAATAATGAATTCTGCTTTTTTGATTGTTGGAATTGCGGTCCAGAGACTGTTTTGTATCGGGCAGATGAGAGTTTGAGAAGGGGGAAAACAAAAAAAGGGGGGGGGGGGGGAGGACGGACTTGTTCTCCAGAAGATATTAACACGTACTAGCGAGTCCATCATCTCAAATAGCTACCAAAAGCCTAAACTTTCTGTTCGATCATTTTTATGGGCTTTCTTTCTGCGCCTTCAGAATGGCCGAGGTGAGATTTAGACATAGTTCCGGGTCAGTAAACCAAAATGATCTGGTAAAGTAGAATATAATAATTTAGATTGTCATGCAGTGTGGTGTGTTTCATGGTAAAATTGTTTGGACTAGAAAGCAGTGAGACTTGAAGAGCAGATTACTTCTCCATGCCTGCTGAGGGCTAATCTTCGGGGCAGAACTATTATATTATTGTTAATGATTTCGTTTCTGCCTTTATCAGGCTGCCACGTTGTTCGTCCATTCCGACTCTGGGGTGGTTAATTAAAAATGTCGCCTGGATGAGAGAGTAGAGTTATAAAGTCGTGTGAACTTTCTGTTGAAAAGGATGCTATAATTCTCACACAGACTTGGTGGACACGGAAATGACGTAGTCAATTCAACTCAGTGTGTGGTTTCACAGCTTGGTTGTGTGGGTGTGTGTGCGCGCGATATTTCTTTTTGGTCTGTGCTGGTTTCGACCCGGATATTTTCTCGGAGCACATGCAGACTGCTAGACTGGATTCATGCAGATTGGTAGGCAGAATAGTTGTGGTCACTGTGAGCTCTTTTAATAGCGTTGCTGTTTTAAATCGTTACTAATAATTCACACGAGGTCAGTTGGTGGTTAGCGGGGGTGCTCTGGTGAGGTTTGCTCCTTTTCTTTAAAATATCTATCGTCCTTATCTCTCCTCATTTTTGTGATTGTTACTCTCTTGTAACACCTTTAATCTATGGCACTTATATATGACCTTATGGGGCATGCACTTCAGCTTTGCTTCTTCTTTCCTATAAAAAAATCTAACGTCCTTATTTCCATCTCCCCTCCTTCTTTTTTATGTTTGTTACTCTCTTGTAACGCCTCTAATCTTCTGGCACTCATATGACCTTATGCAGTTGCGAGAGCTGTGAAACCTCTACTAAAACAAATAAAAAAAACAGCACATCAGCTTTGACATTGTGCTGTTTTCTACGCTTTGTGTCTTACAACAGCCGTGCCAGGCGGAACATGTTTTTGCTGACGGTACATTCAAATACTTTTTACCTAAACGAACAAGCTAACAAACAAACCACCAACTGGTAGGTGGGTGGTTGGTGAGTGCTCTGGTGTGGTTTGCTCCTTCTTTCTTATCAAACATTTATTTTCCTTATCTTTCCTCCTTTTTTGTGTATGTTACTCTCTTGTAACACATCTTCTTCGGCACTTTATTATGACCTTATTGTTTTGCAAATACCGTAGAACTCTGTACGAAAACGAAACCATCTACTGCTGGTAGTCGGCTGGTGATCTGGTGTGGTGTGCTCCTTCTTTCTTTTTTTTCACATCTCTTGCCCTGATCTCTTATCCTTTTTTATTAGTGCTTGTTACTCTCTTGTAACACCTCTACTAATCTTTGGCACTCTTATGATCGTATTGTGTTGCTAGTGCCGTAAAACGTTTGCTAAAACTAAAAACTGGACTCCCAACTGAAAAATGTCCACTCTTTGTTTCTTCCAGGCGTGCATCCCCAGCATGGCGTCATCTGGACGGACGGCAAGGGTATCTTCCTGGCGCCCATACAAGTGGAAGGCACTAACGTGCAGAACGCTACCTCTGTCAGACTCGGGGAGTTCGAGTGAGTACTACTACTTGTCAACTCTTTTTTTGGTTGTGTTCTTCTGCGCTCGCATCTATCCAAGGTTATATGAGCGCGCGGGATAGATTAATTAAGCATTTTCCGTTTCGTAGGAGTTCATGTTGAATTTTGCCCAGGTGGCGTCTGAAGCCTCCCTACTCTTTTCGATTTTAGGACCACCAAAGGATCTTTAAAGTTAGCAACTTGCACAAGGGTTTAGCTCTCTGAGGTCGTGCGTTCTAGTCATTCCGCTACCTTAGAATTGCATTGTTCTATCTGACATTTTTGGCCGTTTTGAGTTACTAAGATCATGAGGTAAGAAATGAAATGTTCTATCTGTTCTCTCAAAATCGTAAAATTATTCGGTGTCGTTATCAAGATATTCAAATAATTGCTTTCGAAAAAGCTTGACATGTTCACATTGTGGAACTCAAATTTCTCAAAAATAGGTTCTGATCAGATAGAACGTTCTGATTCTAAGTCGTCAACGCTTGAAGATACGTCGCTTTGGGGAATTTTCAAGATAGGAACGTAAGCCCGCGTGTCCACCAAACTAGATGGCCTTTGTGTTGCAAGTGGCGTAAAACTCTTACTAAAACAAAAACAAAAAACAAACAAAACAGAAACCGCCCTTCAAAACCTCTGTCCGTCTCTCGAGAAGTTGGTAGATAAAATGGATTACCAGTTTTTTAAACCCTAGGAATCGGTGAGAATTTCGTTTGGATGTGACTGCTAAAACAACTCGACTCCTTCCTACAAAAGATGGGTCGGGTTGAATGCCATGCGTTACATTTTTATCGGGCCGCATAGTGGCTCATCGGCCATATCGCAGACAGATATAAAAACAAAAAACAAAACCCAACAAACAAACAGTTCTTATTTTCTGAGTTCTGGTGTGGGTGGTTGGCGGGTGCTCTAGTGTGGTTTGCTTCTTCTTTCCTATCAAACTCCTATCGTCCTTATCTCCCCTCCTTCTTTTTATGTTTGTTACTCTCTTGTAACACCTCTAATCTTCTGGCACTCATATGACCTCTTGCAGTTGCGAGCGCCGTAAAAACCTCTACTAAAACTAAAAAACTAAGTTCTGATGAAAAAAACCCATAATCCCATGACATATTCGTGATCAGCACCTGAAAATCAGCAAAGTCAGCACGCAAACGAGAAGCTCACAGAACTCGCAACTGTCAAAGCTTCATCAGTTTTGAAATCTGTTGAAAACTGGCTCATGCGCTATGTTACTCTTTGTTGCTGATTTGTGGCGGCCTGGGCACTGTGGGACGTGTATCGTCGGTGCGTAAGTTTACACTATCGACCTTCCCGTCCACACCTGTTGCCTAAATGTATTCTTTCGATGATTTGTGTGTTCTGAATTATTCAGCCGTGAGAGAAAAAAAAAAAAGAAAAGAAGTGAATTTAGTGAATTTAGATTCTGATAATACAACAATGGTCTGAATAGTATTTCATTTGAATGTATTGAGAGCCATGTGTTTATGCATGTGTATGGATGTTTGTATTGATGTGTGGGTAAGAGTAAATTTATTGGTTTTTGTACACACAGGCGGCGTGCGCGTACGCACGCACGCACGCGGGCGCGCGCGCGCACACACACACACACACACACA